GCTTGGTCAGTGGTTCATTCTTGGAAAAAAAAGAAGTAGAAATGGAACAACTATTGTCTGCCTCTTTCTTCAGTCAGATCGGTAACATTAAAAAAGTGACACAAGAAAATTAGAATTCATACTGCCTTTGTTCTCTCCTGCTATTCGTTTCTTGTAGCTAGTCAGGCAATAAAACCCCCACGAGCAGGGCTGGAGTGTGAATCCCTTCACGTTATGAATAAGCAGCAGATTACATGAGCAGCCCAGGGAATTACTGTAAAATTAGAGATTCACAATTTGATCAGTGCAGACCTGATATTATTTCTGGGATCAAGAGAATTTTGATTTGTAATACACTTTAAATATCAAAATCTTTAAAACAAATTGGGAGGTTAGCCTACTTTTACCAATTCTTTATAATAAAACTAAGAAAAACATCTTTTAAGGTGCTTACAATAATTAAATCTTTAATCAAAACTGAACAGATTTTTTTTCAGTGCAGTAAATTTATTTCTTGCCTTTTTTTTTTTTTAGGATGATAGCCAATGGCTTCAGAACCACTGTATGAAAATGGGAGATGCCTATATTATCGTATATTCAGTGACAGACAAAGTTAGTTTTGAAAAGGCCTCTGAACTAAGAATCCAGCTAAGAAGAGCAAGGCAAACGGAAGATATTCCTATTATTCTTGTGGGCAATAAAAGTGACTTGGTCAGGTCCCGGGAAGTCTCAGTTGATGGTAAGAGACACTGTTCATTTACACAGTTGTGGCTGAATTAGTAGCAAAGGCTATAGAGGATCATGGTCAACAGAAATGGTTGTGTTGTGAGGTAGAAAAAAAGTGCATGATTTGAGGCACACTGGAGAAATTCAGCCAGCTGGCTCATTCTGAGGGACTTTGGTACCACAGAAGGCAGTGGAGATGGTGGTGGAGAAAGATTTATGGCTGCACAGAGCAATACTCTGAACTGCAGCACGAGATAAAAAACGTGTCAGCGCTGCAGCTTTAGCATACAATTTTGTGTAGGATTCATTTCTGGTCAGTATTAACTGAAAGGATTTAATTGTATGTTATGTGTGCAGCAGCACTTGCTACTCTCACCATGGGAGAGCTTGAGTTATGCTTTTTAAGTGACAGGAGTACCATGTCACAGAACCCAGGGAGCCTTGGAAAAGGGTGATCCCGTGCAGCCTGTACAGTTCTCTTTCTTCTGGAAGTGATTTCATCACATTTGAGTTGAGCTGTTGGGACCAGGCTCACACAACTTAGAGACTTCTTGTGTATGTTCTTTGGTGGTGATCAGCGAGAACTCTCTCAGCTCTTCTCTGCTGTTCTCTCAGAGAACATTTCGGTAACTAGAGTGCAATAACCACTGCCATCACCACAGTTGTAATTTCACTTATTTAAATGTGGTGGTTTTGATTTTGGTTTAGTTGGTTGTTTTTTTCACTGGTAAGAATACTCTGGAATATTGGTACCTTGATGATGATGAACCATCTCTTGCTGTCTGGTAAACGCCTGCACAGGGAATTGACTGGAGTTTATCAGGAGCTCATTACTCTTTTCAGGCTAATGGCAGTTCATGACTTTGCTCAGGTTCATGGCTTTGCCATTATGAGTGGCAGGATGACCTGGAAACTTGCAGTGTAGCAGTGTTCCAGAGTTAAATGCTTACATCTAGAACACTGAGCATCTTGCATTTTGACTGCAGCCCTAGCCATTTCCAGCAGTGTATGACTTCATGACCCCCAGTGATCTGTTCAGTGACTTGACCTTGTGGACTGTATCAGCTTAATCTGTAATAGTGTTGAAAACTCTTGTTTTCAACTTGTTACAGCAAGGCAGAGATGCATAATTGGCTAACATCTTCCAGAAGAAATAAAAGACATTTCTGTACTTCACAGTTTTCTCTCAAACAGCAAGCATGTGCCCAAGTGCCTCTCCTATTATCAACTCTTGTGGCATTGAAGGCAGTTTCCTTACTTGATGTCAATATTTGTGTTGTTTTTCTGCCAGAATATATGAAGAGAAAATGTCCGTCTCCACTCATCACTGTTTTTCTCTTTCCATCCAGAGGGACGGGCCTGTGCTGTTGTGTTTGACTGCAAGTTCATTGAGACCTCAGCTGCTCTTCATCACAATGTCAAGGACCTGTTTGAAGGCATCGTTCGGCAAATTAGACTTCGCAAAGACAGCAAAGAAGACAACGCTAGGAGAATGGCCAACACAAAAAGAAGAGAAAGCATAGGCAAAAAGGCAAAGCGATTCCTTGGGAGAATTGTGGCAAAGAACAATAAGAAGATGGCTTTCAAAGCAAAATCAAAGTCTTGCCACGATTTATCTGTGCTTTAGAGGTTTTCAGCAAGGCCAGATGTTGCACGTGGGTGATGAACAAGCATTTGACTGTTACGAGACACCTAAAGATGATCTCATGGTGATAACAAGAATGGCTCACCAATTGTGACTCTCGTTAATGCCTTAAGGTGCGCAAGCAAGTCTGGAAGTTACACTATGATGTCTGCTTCATTGATAAATGGCTGAAGTTTCAAAGTGTGCAAGTAAATGAACTAACTTGAAATAAGTGGCTTGACATGCCCACATTTTCACTGTGTACATATGTTATATATCCTCTTGTCCTGTGGATACCAGAGAAGCAAAGATGAAGGATGATGATCAGTAGCACCATAGACTTGTCTTGTTTGCAGAGCAAAACTTAAACTTGTACGCAGGCTCGTACACTCTTTTACGTATAAAGCTAGCAATGATAAATCTTTTTAAACTTAAATGTGGAGGGGGGGAGTAGAACCACATTAGAATGGGAGAAAACATTCTATACATATTGTTAAATATAGAAGAGATACCATTTTATGAAGTTAATTTGCACTTCCATTAACTGTTATTCAATTAATTTGTTACTTGTTTACATGCAGATTTTATAATAAAGTATTATTTCCTGTTACAATAAACTGGTCTTTTCTCATAGTATGGGTAAAGAGTGAGAGAGCAGCATTTTTATACCGACCTTTTTTCACTATACAAAACATCATAGACAGACTCTGCAGATTTACACATGATAAAGTTCTGGAACGAGATGAATCAGGAGTAAACCCTGTTTTTATGAGCATTCTGCTTCAACAGCTCATATAGGGAAGGGGTGCCTTGACCCTTCATATTCTTGTTCATCTTCAAGTCAGTTCTCACCCGCTCTGGCAGGGACAAGCCTCTGTGAAGTGCCTTTAGTTAGAGAGATGTCTTGTGTCTATACTGATAAACTGAAGTCTGCACTGTTCCTGTTAAGTCCTCTCCTGGTTTTAAGGTCTAGTGTTAGAGCCAGTAAGAAAATGTGTGGGTTTCAGTTGTTTGATTTTTATTTTTTTTTCCTAATCTACTCACAAGCCTGTAGCTACCTTCCAGTGGTCTCAAGAAATTCAAAGCAGGCTGGCAAAGCTGTTTGAAAGAATTTTAGGCTTCAGTTTTGTGTGGTGGCCATCAGTACTGTTAGAGTTTTCATGTTCATTTTTTTGTGTTGTAATTAACGTGTTTCCATGATTTTCCCCCATTTTCTATTCATGAAGTTAAAAAGCAGTAATGTCTCATTGGAAAACTTGGCCTTAGTGCATTTGCTTTATAAGCTTCTCTTCACAGGATACATTCTCTTTAAGCTTCTCAAAACCATTAAAACATATGTTCTTCTGCTTCTTCCAACTCTCCTACCTGAGCCCATTTCTTCAGAGAGATTGTTTGAGGTGCCTGGGAGTACCGTTTGTTCATGATTTTGTAGGGGCTGACCTTTCCCATACACTGGGCAAATGGCAGCAGCATTTACACCTTACACTGAGCTTCTCTGAGCTGGAACATACAATTCTCCATGGGGATAGCCCAGGGCTTGGGCACTCAGCAGAGAACAGTTAGCACTGCGGGATATCGCGTCCCATTTGCAGAGGAGCTGCTCTTGTAGAACTAGTGTCGCCTGACGTGCTGCTGGTGGACCTGACTGGCTAGATGCACAGTTTACATATGTTGCTGGCACCAGGTCAGGTTGCTTAGGAGGAGAGGTGTTTGTTTACTTTGTGTCCTGCGTGAAGTCTAAAGGGAGTAGGTATGTCCTGCTGCCAAAACTCACATTTACCTGATGATACGTTTTAATTGGATTTGGCCCTTTTTCACTAGCCTTGCTTCCTGGCAAACTGTTACCACTGGCACGCCTAAGCACTGTCGGAGTGTGGCACCCAGCATCTATTTACAGGGAAGCTTTTAACTGTCAACAGCAAACCTATTCCTCTAGTCCTGAAAACTCTACAGCAAGAGAGTCCAAATTCATGTGCATTAACTTGGCACATACCTATTCACACACATGCTAAAGTTAATGACGAAACTCCGTGGTGTTCCCTGTATGTTTGCAAAGCTTGTCTTTTCGTTGCCCTGGGGTTTCAGAATGACAGGGAGAGAAGTGGCATGTCTGAGTGACTTGGGAGATTTAATTCTGCCCTAGTAAATATAAGGAACAGGACGAAACCCCAAATTTTAAGCTACAGCATTTCACAAAGTGCAAAATGTTTCACAGCTGTGTCACTCTTAAAGCTGCAACATAACTGCAGCTGCAAAGCCTCTTCAAGGTCACAGTGAACAGCTGTACTTTTTGCACGCTCTGACCTACAAATCAAGTGGTTTACTGCATTCAAAGGTTAGGTTCAGGCAACTCCTAAGCCTAAAATATTTCTGAGGAACTCTAGCACATTGATAGAGGTTCACTTAAACTGTGGAAAATAACTTGTATTTTGAAAGTATGTCATAGAGGACACTGTGAGACAATAAACTATGAATTGCTCTGAAGAAACTTGGGCTAATCTACAATGTATGCTATCAGTTAATAATGTACAAAAAAATATTTATTTAGATTCTCATTATACTAATTTTTTTCATTCATTTGATTGTACAGGGATTTGCATTATTCAGCCATGGTTCATGAAAGGGGGGTAGGTTTGTTGTTATTGCAGTTCCGACAATAACCTGCTTGAGTCTGAGATCCTATTCTATGCTACGGAAGTATTGCCATGAATACTACTTTGCAGATATTTTGTTGCCCCTGAAAGATTTTCTGCCCGGAAAAAAAAATAATTTCTCGGATGTCATTTAGTGGAATTTCCAAGCAGACTTTTTGGGAGTACATGTACAGCACCAGCTAGAAGTCAGTAACAGGTACCTAACTGACAAATGCCTCTAAAATCAACTTTCTTCAAGAGGCTATTTGCGTCCTCAAGCATTTGAAAGTCATCGACAGATTTCTGTAATTTGAAGTTTTTTATTGGTGTGGATACTTAGATTCTTGTCATTAATGGGGTGAATCTATGTCGTGAAAAACAGTGAATCCCAGACAGCAGCATTCCCTCTAATCATTACCAGAGAAGAGCAGAGTGTAAGGGCTAACAGTGGTGTGAGTTTTGGTTTTTGCCAATGTGCATCAGTTTTAGTTCAGAGGGACAGCTCACACAGCCATTTAATCTTTACTGCCTTCACTGTTGCTGCCAGCTGAAGTTCCTGTTACTGCTAATTGTGGTGGTGGATTTTGTGTTGGCACAAATCCATTTGGAACAGCTAGTTATTAACAACTACAGTGGAAGGACGTTGCCTTTTATATGTGACACATATGTTAGGTAAACAAATCAAAGCCTCCTCCTGCTCGCTATTGCTAAACTAGCTCCTGTAAACCCTTCAGTGCATGAAAAATGTGAAGAAAATCATTCCTTCATCTGCCAAAACCACAAAGCGTAAAGGCACATCACATAAATATAGACGAAATGTTAACTGCTGGGGGAAGACTTAGCATCACCAAAAATATAGCTTTACTCAGATGTATTTTCTCAAAATAGGACTAGAAGAAACAGGGCATGATCTACATAGTAACATTGCATAACAACACTGTTCCTTGGTGAAAAGGAAAGCATAGTGACTTGACAGTGATTAAGAATCCAGTGTATGATAAAAGATTGCTAAGATGTGGTAAAAAAAAAAGCATGGTAATACTCACATTATGCTGAAATTTGCTTTAGTACTCTTAATTCTATTTGGAGACAACGCACACATTCAATTGCACGTACATCACAGGGACCTCACTGAATCTGCAGTCACAGCTGAAGGTGATGTCTGTGCATTCCAGGACCATCACTTAGTTTATAATTTACCACATGATCTCTAGCGTTGCAATAGACAATTTGACTTGCTCATTCCATAAAGGAACATCTGAACTCCAATACTATTTAAGTTATTAATTTCTAAAAATTGAAATAGTAAAGTCTGTCAAGTGTCCTCCTGTTCTATGATATGGATGTTGAACAGAGAAGTAAAAGACAAAAAGAGAGAATAAATGCCTGTTGCTTATCTGCAAATAAGATTTCTCTAACTCGCTATTCAGAATCCAAGGGAGGACAATATTGTTAAACTTAAAAATGTACGAAGGATTCTAGCATTAGAAGTTAGGAAGCATGCTAGGAAATTTATTTCAACATCAAGTTCTTCACCAACAAAGTAGTACTAATTATGTAAAAGAGAAATACTCTCTATCGGGTAAAATGGGCAATGTATGTTTTAAAGACTCTCCTCTTGTTCTCTCCCCACCTTTTTTCCCTATTTATAAATGTGTCATCTGAATGAATCATTGGAAACCAATTAGGAGCCTACATCTTTTTTCCCCATATTTATCATAGGAGGTGAAGAAATATTAATCTGAACTAAAATTTAGCAGATTCAGAGACTGAGATAAACAGAATACATTTGAAAATGTTAATTTTCTCACTTTCCTAAAAAAGCTTCTCTAAGGTCAGAAGACAGTAGCTGAGGAAAGGACAGGATTTGGAGTGCAAGCTCTCCTGCTTAGAATAGTCTAGTCAGACACATAAAAATCTCCTCAGCTTTTTTCTGGCAGTAAGTCCCACTTCCATCAGCCTCACTACACCAGCATAAATAATTACATTCCTGTTAAGCTTGCAGTCCCACTGAAGGTGGTGACCCTTACTTTGGGAATGCCAGTTTTCAGTTCAGCAGATGACTTGCCAGAAGAAGGATAATTTCTGTCACATCTAAATTGGATTATTGTAATGCATTATACTTAACAAAGCTTTCAGGAGCTTCGGGTAATAGGAAATACAGCCATGCTAATTAAGCTGGCTAGGTCAAAATAAGCACATAACTTCTGTGCTCAGGCTTGGGTTCCTGTCTGTTTTCAGGTGAAGATCTAGAAAAGCTGAAATAGCATGGGACATGACTAATGTTGAAAATGTAGCATGTTTCTTGTCTGGCTACTAAGCTTGTTGAGCTCACTAGGAAGGCAGCAGCAATATTTGATTTTGGACTTCTCAACAAGAACAATCTTCACATTTCTAATTGCAGCTATTCAGGTATCTGATTACAGGTATTCGGGCCATGACATTTTAGTGCATTTGACATTGCAATGGTAATTGCAAGATATCACGCCCTATTTATTACTGTTGCAGATCAAGGACGCAAAAAGCATAGAGCAACACAAATACATCGTAACTGAACGAGAACATACGGTGAATTCTAAAACTGTGCCAGCTTGCATTAGCTCCATTTCATTACAAGCCCGCCATTGGAATTTACTGAGGAGTGTTCACCAACGTTCTTCAATGAGAAGAATAATGTAACTCTCACCAGCCAGGTGCCAAACAACTTTCTCATGGATTTTTCAGCCATGGATATCTCGGTTCTAGCGCTTCTTTGTCACACGCTTTTCATGTCAACTTCAATTTTATCTTTCCAACCTCCATTGTTACACATTGTCACCCTTGCAGCAGTGGCTCAGCAGTACAGTGGGAATGGGAAAGTGACACTCCTCTGCTGCTGCGCGACTTACTGAAAAACATTAGCTGTCAACAGTTGTAACATGAACCTGGCCCCCCAGCTCATTGCTTTACATAATACAGTGGAGATAAAAATGTCAGA